AAGGACCCGTGGCAGGCGTAACTAATCAATCGTGGCATTGCTTCTCACTGAGGCAGGACACAGCCTCAGAGTTCCTTTCAAGGCAGTGCTCCTGTCCCCAGTACTAATCTCTGCCCCGACCTAAAGGGGTAATTGCTGTGAGCTAGACGTTTTCACACCTGCTACCCGACTGGAATTCATTTCATAAGCAGAGGAACTGGCACAAAGAAAGGCAGGCTCAGAGGGTGACGAGGGACTCGCCTGCGGCCACCCAGCCACGCTCACACCCAATGCGCTCAGGGCAAACCTAGGGCACGTTCAGTGAACAATGAAAGGCCAGCGAGTCCGGAGAAGAAACGCGGTCCTTCCAAGTGCAGGTCTCACGTCCTCAGTGGGGTCAGGAGGCAGAGAGAAGAAGGACTCCCCCTTCAGTTTCCATAATGGGGAGCCCCGCCTCCCGCCCAGACTCACGATGGGGTACCCCCAAACAAGGCGGGGGGTTCAGAAGCTCAGCAGCTGAACACATAACAGATGGCTGCCACACTCAGTGTGCCCCACCTGTCTACGGCCCACATCTCTATGCCCTCTGGGCTGCAGACACCTGTGTCCTTCATTCTGTGCCCCTCAGCCAGGCACAGACCCGGCTCTCAGCAAGCGTTTCTCGCATGGTCTTGTGCTCCTTTGAAGACATTAAAGCCTTTCCGGACTCTGCAGTCACATACCCAGGATGGGACTTCCCACTGCAAGGTGAAGTTTGACTTAATACAACTGGCTGCATTCCCTCCTCCACCCCCTCACCCCCCGCCCCTGCCCACTCTCTGCTGCTCTGGACAACTGGAGCCTGGAAGGTTTGAGCTTTTTATACAGAAAAGCATCATGCCGAACTGATGAGGCATCCCCAGATGTAGCCGGTCCCAAAGAAATCTCCCATCTCCTCCGAGATGCAAACTCGCTGACCTGCAGTTTCCAGCCATTATTCCCCATGCCAGGCGCACAGCCCACGTCTCTGAACATGCCGAGCTCACGGCCCAGGCTGGCTCTCTGGGCGTGCGTGTGACCTCTGAGGCCACACGGGCCCCACACGTACAAGGGCCCTACGCTTGGGTGAAGGCTCTGCTGTCGCTGTCTTTAACTTCTTAAAAAGTTTGGAACAAGGGTCCCTGCATTTTCGCTTTGCACAGGGCCCCTCGGACTGTGTAGCCTTTCCTGTTCAGAGCCACCGAGTCTGGCGAAAAGCAGTGAGAGAACATGACACAGCTTCAATCACGAACCATTCAGATTCAAAGCTCCCTGCGTGAAGGACACAGATCCCGCCTCCCAGGAGGCCGGCGTCATTTCACGGTGACCCCGGAGGTCACGGTAGGCAGCATTGCACCCTTCTAAGGAATCTGAGGCTCAGAAAAAGGGCCTAAAGCTTCACCTAGTAGAGGCAGAGCCATGTGCACAGCACAAACCAGAACGTCCATGATGTTGACATCCCGACGGGAGGAGATGAGCATCACCGCCAACTCAGAAGTGCTTTCTGCTCATCTCTAACGGGCCCCCGGGAGCCGCAGGTGGCTCGCTTCAGCTTTTCCACACTGACAAATCCATTCTGTCAGCGAGCTCTGGGGGAGGGACTCCTCAGAGGACAAGCCCAGGCCGCTTACGAGGTCCCCCAAGAGCCCCCGCCCCTGCCCGCCACACGCTCCTCCTTTTCCTGAGGAAAGGTCCCACTCTGAGCTCTAATTAGTGGCCTCCCGGGGTCCTGAGGCTCCGCCGCTCCCACCCACAGCTGTTCTCACGGCACCCAGTCCTTTAGATCTCCTGGCGGGCCCTGTGCAGCCTCTGGGAAAACGCCCGCCTCCCCCAGAGGCTCCCCCTGTCCAGTCCCAACGCCACGGGGCCTTCGCCCTCGCGGCTCCTCTGCCCAGAGCTCTCCGCCCCAGCTGCCCTGTGGCCGGCGCCCTCACGTCATTCTGGTCTCCGTTTAAACATCACCTTCTCAGAAATCATTCCCGTGGCCGCCCCACACACGCCAGCATGCGTGTGTGCAACACGCACACACGCACACCCACATTGCTTTCCACCTGTCTCGCCCTGCTTAATAATACTACAGGGCACACCCAGCCGTCTGGCACGTTACGGTTTACCTGTTCACTTACTTAGCGTCTGTGTCCCCTACTAGAGGGGACGCAGGGAGTACGGTGTCCCTGGGACCAGGGCAGTTCTTGGCACACAGGCGCACCATAGCGCCTCACTGAGTGGTGCATAAAGGAGTGACCCAGCCTTCCTGCCACTCCTGAGCCGTCTGTCCCCGCTTACTCAGTCCCACTCTAGCCTGAAACCCTCTGGCTCTTAGCTAGGGGTCCCCTGTCACCCATCAGAGACCTGACTTCCCCCGGAAGTCTCCTCGACCTCGGGCCCAGGCTCAGTCCCCGCCGGGGAGCGCCGGCGCCATCCTGTGTGTTGGTGTGCACACCTGGGAGCTTCCCAGGTGGACCTAGAAACGCCCTTGAGCCCGATGGAGGGAGGGCAGGGAGACACAGCAGAAAGCGGAAATCTAGCCCGGAGTGGCGGGCGGCAGGCTCGCCCCGCGCGGGGGCTCAGTGGGAGGCTCGTCGGGGGCGGCAGCGAGACCACTGGCTCTCCGCGACCGCCCGGCGACCTCCAAGGTGACAGAGAGGCCTTCCCCAGGTTCAGCCGCATCCTCAGCGACCCGGTCTCACAGCGTGTGGCTCTCTCAAGGCCGTGGCCTTGAAGTGGCTCCAGCCGTGGGAACGGTGGGCACAGTCACTTCCAAGGATGGGAGGAGGAGGAGCTTCCGAATGCCCGGGGCCAGCTCCTGGGTCAACCAGCGGCCACGTCCTCTCGATGACCTCCTCCAACACTGTGCTGACCCCAGTGGTGGGACAGCTAAGCTCTCTTAGCTGGCTGCCCCCTAACCTGGCTGTGGGGGGGACCAGGGCCACCCCTTCCGGCCAGGCGCTTTCGGGCTGGCACCTATGCTGCTCCCACCCCGTCGTCACATGTCCACCAAGGGTCACCTGGGGCGGGGACTGTTCCTGAGGCATCCTTACTAGTTCAGTTCCAAAATTCAATTATTAAAAGAAAATAGACAAAAATGAAGATAAAAAGAAACTTATCGCTGCTAAGGAAACTAATGCTTTAAGAATTTAACTGATGCTTCGAATGCCTCAAGAAGACCCAATAAGAAAACTGCTTTTTAAGAAAACATTGCTTGGATCTAGATGTGCACCAAACACTCCTAATAGATTGAGGAATACAGGGAACTTTAAAAACTCTGTCATTCTATGCTCAGACTATTCAGAAATTGCCAAAATTGACATTATAGGCAACACATGTGTGGTTTGAGCAAAAATGATCACAGAGCCCATCAGACCCACACGCAAAGACCTTGACCTACATTTAAAGTGGTGTGTTCATACGCATTTACGCTTCAAGTTCAAATAACATGTTTGCTTCCTTTTCCAGCAACTCCCCACTTCAGCCTATTTTTTTAATTGACTGAATTAGCAGCCACACTTATTGTTGGCCCGTGGCTATCGTGTCACCCTTCACATCCCCAGATTGGGTCTTCTCCACATGGCATCTGGCAGCTAGCACCGGGCTGGCACGGCGTCGGCCTTTGGTAAACAGGTGTTGGATAAATGAATAGAATAAACGAGAGCTGGAAATCCGACCTCTCTTCAAAGGCTCGCTCCTTCCCGGCAGCCTTCTTCACTTGAGAGAATGTGGCTGTCACCCCAAACCCCCAAACTCTCTTTGAGAGAAACAGACCTAAGCTTTTTTTTTTTTCTTTTTTTCCACCAAAGACTTGCTCAACCCCAAGGTTGTAGACATGCCTACTATCACATATCACTTTGGGAGTCAATCCTCAGACGTCGAGGAGCCCGAGAAGCAAGAAGTCAAAAAACCTCGTCACGTTGTTCGTCGTAAGAAGAAATTAGAAATAGATACGGAATGGATCAAGGACAAGATTGAGGTAGGGGGCAGTACGCTGGGGTTTTCACTATGTGCAAGGGTTTTTTGGGGGCTCAGGTGAGAGACACACACACACACACACCCCCATCGGGGAGCTGTCAGAACCAACACAAAACATGAATACAAACGAGAAAAACGTGCCTGATGTCTAGACGCACACCTGAGTGCGTGGGTCACCACGGACTGACTGAAACTCTTACTAGGGTTCCCGGACACTCTGCTTACCGCAGGGCTGGTATTTGGCAATTGAATGGGATTGGGAGTAGAGCAAAGGAAATAGGTATTACATTATATAGGTCCCTCTCCTAATAAATTTACAATCTATATCAAAAATCACTCACATGGTGAATGGATAACCTGTGATACATTCATACAACGGAATATAATTTAGTGCTAAAAAGAAATGAGCTATCAGGCCATGAAAAGACATAGAAGGGCCTTAGATTCATGTAACTAAAAGAACCAATCAGGAAAGACTACATACTGTATGAATCCAGCTATATGGTTAATTAAGGGTACCCCTGACACACAGTCAAAAATCAAATATAACCCTCCACAGGCACAGATTCCCAACTGCACATCAACAATACAACAGACTCTTGAACAACACGAGCCTGTCGCGGGATGGGAGGAATCTGTACACTTTCTGCTCAATTTGGCTGTGACCTGCTCTAAAAAATAAAGCCTATTTTAAAAACTCAGTCCCATGGTGTGTGTATAAAGATGGATACTATGAAGTCATAAGTGAAAACTAGTCTCAGAACATTAGTCATCGGGAGTGAGTTAACAATCAGGTCTGAAGCTCAAAAGGGAGCATCGCGTGGGAACTAGAACCATGTGACAGACTTTATGCCTTCTGTACATGTATACTGAGAACCTACGGTGCCAGGACCCCTTCTCTGTGCTGGAGGCACAAGAGTAAACAAGACACAGCCCCTGAGCCCATGGCACTGAAGTTCCCGTTGAGGAGACAGTCTGTATACGAAAATACTGTTCAGTGCGACACCAGATGCTGTCAGGTGCCATGGGGACGAGGCGGCGGGGGGCTCGCGTGCCGTTGAGCGTGGGCATGCGTGAAAGGACGAGCCAGCCGTGCAGGTCCCTGGCGGGAGAGTGTTCTAAGCAGAACAAACAAATGCGAAGGCCCTGAGGCCTCTGTCTCGGGGACAGCCGTGAGTGAGAGAGGGCAGGGCACGCGCTTGGGTGCTCCGACCAGGCAGAGCCTGGTGGGTCACAGTAAGACTCTGAATTTTATCCTGAGGATGAGCTGAAGCCATCGGAGGGTCTCGAGCAGGAGAGAAGCATCACCTGGCCTGCTCGACAAGAACCTTTCTGGCTGCCGTATGGAGTAGAGGTTGAAGAGGGCAAGAAAAAGGCAGAAAACCCACGCGGGGGCCCGGCCATCCATTCAGGTGAGAGACGGTGGCATCTCCACCATGTATTGGCAGGAGAGGTGGTGAAACGCGGTCCGATTTGGGATAGTTTTTGAAGAGAGAATCAAAAGGGCTTCCTGTCGAACCGGAAGTGGATGTGAGCGAGAGAAAAGCCTTGGCCCAAGCGACCGAGTCAATGGTGGGTTCTCGGGTGGCTTTGGAAAGGAAGACCCCAAATACAAAAATCCTCTTCAACGAGCCTCATCTAGAAGCTTTTTACAGGCCGTCAGGAGCGACCCCACCACAGACGTGTTCTTACAAGGCACTTTTTTAGATTTAAAAAAAAAAAAAAAAGAGCAGTGATCTGTACACTACATGCGGGAGGCAGTGTGTTCCCAGCCTGTCGGGGAGCGGACTGCAGGGGCCCGGCTCCCCTCTCACTGGATGACTTGGTGTAAGTCACTCAGCCTCTCTTAAATGGGGACAATGACTGTGCCTCCTTTG